TCCTCCTGGCTGACTGGGTCCTGGTTCTTGAGGAGCGCATCTATTGTTTTCCTAAAAAATAATATATACCTACGTGTAAATATACACTGTGATTTAGGTAGCCCGTGCATAAGAATTTTTCCAGTTTACAGGTGGATTAGTTAGAGTTAGAGGCAGCATCCAATCTACATGCAAGTTGATGCACGAGCTACATAGATCACACTTTACCAAGTATTACGTGTCCTTGAGTGTGAATCGAGAAGATTTTGGTGGGAAATAAGGACAATAGTAAAGGGGCTAGGACAGAGCTGGCGCAAAATCAGTCATTTTCCCATGTAAATCTCCATAAGAAAATCTAAGGTCCGTTCTGGCAATTTTTGTACCGTTTCAAGGTCATCCGTCCAGTCCGCCAGCCGGCGCTAAGCCCCATCCCCTTTCCAGTGCCCGTGTCTTTCATCAGTCGCGTCAGCCGCCGCTGCGTTCGGGGTCATTGACCGCACCTGGCTGCAAGCGGCTCATCGAACACACATAGCAGCTCGTGACTACGTGATTACGCTGGCATCCTGCGATAAGCAAGTCCTAACAAGTCTCTAACCAATCCGAAGGCTGAGGTCTCTCGTCTCAATATAAGAAACGAGCGACAACAAGCCGGATATTTTTTTTATTATTATTTACATCATATTAATAGCTACAATGCTTTCGCTCGTATTCAGATCAAAGGCGCCGCTTGTTCGAGTGACTTGTTGAAAGTGATCAGTAAACTTTTGGATTGCGCCTATTTCTATATCAGTGTTGGAGTTAACAAAAGCGTAAGTATTATTACAGTTATTATTATTATCAACATGACTCATCATTTATACAAATATTTTTTTGCAAAATAATTCCGTCTCCAATTTTTTCCATAAGGATTTTCCTGGAATTTTTGCTTCAAATATTCATTTCCTATCAATAATATATTGCTAAATTATAGCAACATGTTCACCAACAAAAGCAAAAATTAAGCAAACGCATCACATAGGAAATTACACTGCTTGAGCCGTCCTGTCGCAATACTGATAAACTATTTTTATTTAGAATAAACAATATAACCTGTGACAATAATAGGCGTTACGTCATCAACGTGTCTGTGAATATTTTCATCGCATGACGTGATCGTTGGCGCCATCTAGCGTACATAGTGTAAAGTTCGATGTGTCCCATTATAGGATGCTGTAGTGGTAACTAAGGAAAATTCGTAACTGTCGCCGACGTTTAATGTGGGAATTTTATAAACAAGGGTATCATATTTCACGGCTATTTTTACTTGTAACTGGTAAGCGTTTCCATTCTAGCAAAAACAAGCTCAAACTTGCATTTATATTTTTTTGTCGATGATAAACAAAACATGTATGAATATTTTCACTGCCGACCAACTACCTACATATTATATTTAAAAACATTCCAGCACATAGCCCCATAATACTTCCAGTCAAGTTGGACATTATCTATTACCCAACTAACAACCCTTAGGGCCAAAAAAGGGTGATATCAAAAATTTTAAAAAGTACCTAACTATACCATAACTCTTTTGAGGCGGGAACAGCGAAGCTGCTTTTTCCGGAGTGTGCGCAACCCTAACTATCAAGGGAATGTCTGAAAACTGGATTTTGACCATCTGCGCAGGATGTCTTAGGGCCTTATTCTATTTTTTCGATTATTTCGCCTTCTAGCCATCCGATTCACTTCGTTCTTTTACCAAAAATTTTCAAATAATTAGTCGCGTATTTGAAGACCAGTTCCACCCGTTTAGCATATGCCAAAAGGGCCGTATTCTATTTTTTCGATTATTTCGCCTTCTAGCCATCCGATTCACTTCGTTCTTTCACCAAAAATTTTTAAATAATTAGTCGCGTATTTGAAGACCAGTTTCACCCGTTTAGCATATGCCAAAAGGGCCGTATTCTATTTTCTTATTTAATTAACGTTCTATCGACCCGATTCAATTTATTCTTCTGCTAAAAATGTCTAAATAATTAGTGGCATCAATGAAGACTATAGTTCTACCCGTTTAGCATACGCCAAAAGGGCCGTAATCAGTTTTTTCGATTAATCCACTTTCTATTGGCTCGATTTAATTTATTCTTTTACCAAAAACTTCTAAATAATTATTGGCATCAATGAAGACTAGTTCCAGCCATTTAGCATACGCCAAAAAGACCGTAACCAGTTTTTTTCAATCAATCCACTTTCTAGTGGTCCAATTTAATTCATTCTTTTACCAAACATATATTCCCAGTAGGTAATGCATTGGAATGTAAATATTTTAGTATAGAAAATCCTAAACACAAAACAGCAGACATTTAGATTTCAAGATAACATTTAACCATAGGCTAGATCTGAATAAAGACAAAAAAAAATATAAGAGTTGGGGGACCTTTCCTATTTTTTGGCTTCACCTTTTTATAATTTCTATGGACTTTCTATACAGTTCCAGATGACTTCGAGCGAGCGTGTAATCTCAACCATACGAGTTTAGATCTGGATCAGCAAGTCACAAAGCTTATTAACTGGAATGTTTGTACCTGTATACAAAAAAAAAAAACGCTCAAAATAGCTGAAAACCCATATTTGCTTAATTTTTCCATTGATTCTTATGAAAATCCTTCTCAAAAATCTGATAGTCGAGAGGCCTTTTTTGTCGCTGTTATAAAATCATTCAGTCCTCCGTCCGTTCTGATACTTATAGTTCTGCCACAGCTAATTTTCATTCATTACTTTGCAGTTCCTCAAAGAGTGAAGACGCGCATAGCCTAGCTCTTCTATACAGATTTACGAGTTTGTGAAAATTATTAGCCATTTCCGGTAAGTTCTAAAAAATATACCCCCAAATAAAACTAAGCGTCATTCTAAAACCTATTATTTTTTTTTCAGATTAGAAGATGTCGCTCTTCGCAGATTTAGTGAAACATATAGCCTCTCCTGGGGCTACTCACACCAAAATATAATGATAACATCGCTAAAGAAGGCCTGGAGGAATGTACTCGAGGACTAAGAAAGCTCAACAAAGCGATCAAACAAGCAACATGCATTGGTGAAAAGCAGCACTTAGAGTCATGTCTGCGAAATATAAGAAGTATGAGGAATCAGTTCAAAAATATGCAAAAGAAAGGCGCAGGACTTTCACCATCACGCCCTGAAGGAGCAAGAGAGCGGGTGCATTGGGATTATTCAAATTCAGCTTTCAGCAGCAGGATAAGAACAGGCGTGATTTCAAATTTAAAACACAAAGATCCCAAGCTGTTTTTGGTAGATTGTGCAGCTTCATTTAAACGCAGGATCCAGAATGCTCTTAAAATAGATGAAGCCATCAAAGTTAATGCAGTATTTTGTGGGGAATTCGAAATCGTCAAAGGTGATAAAGTGCTAAAAGAATTTAAGTACTTCACAACGTCTAACACGGGCATCTACCGAAATACTAATCTTGGGCAATGGTTCAATGAGAAGGTTACTGAACCCATTATGAACGAGTTGGAAGAATTCCAGGAACGAGATAGTGGTTGGGCGCTGAAGAAAATTATAAATTTGGGCATTAACATAAATAGATTCACACAACAGCTAGGCTCCTCCTTCATCAAACTACCAGCACAAATAGCAGCGAGACATGCCTGCGTAAACGTGAAAAACAACGATCAAGCCTGTTTTGCATGGGCTGTAATTTCAGCATTGTTTCCAGTAGAAAAGGATCCACAGCGATTGTGCAAATATCCCGATTATATAAATGTATTAAAGTTGAAAGGCATTCAATTCCCCATGACTTTGAAACAAATTCCCAGTTTCGAGAAACAGAACGGTTTATCTATAAATGTTTACAAACTGGAAAAATCTGAGAAAAACTTGAAAGTCATGCCCATACTCATAACAAGAAACAAACAGGAAAAACATGTTAATCTCCTACTCATCCAGAATAAATATGATGAAGAGCAGCGTGAAGACTCTTTACCTGTAAAGTATCATTATGTGTGGATTAAAAATTTATCAAAATTAGTATCCTCACAATTGAGTAAGCATGATGGGAAAAAACATATCTGCGATCGCTGTCTGCACTATTTCAGATCGCAAGATAAGCTCAACAAACACCTTGAGGATTGTGCAAAGATAAATGAAACAGCTATTAAGATGCCAGAAATTGGGAAAAATATATTAAAATTCAAAAATTTCAAAAACAAGGAAAGAGCGCCTTTTATAGTATATGCGGATTTGGAGAGCGTTTTGAACCCAACAAAGGAGGATTCTAAAAGGACTCAGCTCCATATTCCAGCTGCTGTAGGATATTACCTAAAGTGCTCCTATGATGATTCATTATCTTTTTACAAGTCATTCCGTGATGCAGAATGTATGCAGTGGTTCGCTGATGAGATGGCTCAGTTAGCAGAAAATATCGCAACTGTATTCTGGTGTCCCTACGACATTGTCGACCATACGGAAGAAGAGTGTTACAATTCGAAAAACGTGATTTTACTGGAGAGCGTTGTGAAGTTTTTTTTGTAACGAAATATTCCATAACTTTGACATTTGTAAATATTCATGTCTAATTTTTTTTTTATATACAGCGTTTATCTGTTACTTTTAACTGCAGGTGGTAAAACATTTCAGAAAATTCTGGTTTTGAAAAAAAACATAGTTGTAACTGTCTTGAACATTTTTTTTTTTTCAGGTCAAAACTTGTAACAAAATATTCTTATTGTTATTCTTTTATAATTTCACAAAAACTGCTTGTATCTCAATGATTTCGCCTTTTTTTTAAACATAATAGCGCAACAATTCAAACACATCAATTTCAAGAACCCTCAAACTGCAAACAGTTATGAAATTACATGTTACTTTCTTCTGTGGAAATTAAAAAAAAATCTTACTTACACCTTTTCCATTTTTATTGATTGTAAACCAAAATAACTAATTTCTCTAATAAAAATAAATCCATAATTCTTTGGCATTAAAATAAAGACTTATCAAAAACAGCTTACTAGCTATGAAACTTAAAACTAAAAAAGAAAATCATCTAAAGGTTTCTGAAAAAATCTAAATAATAATACGGAACACATTTTTTTTTTTTCAATCAACTCTAGTAAGCCTTTTTTCTTTGCCTCTGAAATCCCTGGTTTTTTCACAAAAGCAGGATTCAACTTTATATTGTCAAATTGAATGTTTTTTCTTTGATTAATAATTTCTGATTCCATAAAGCTTTCTTCGCCATAAGAGTACTTATAAAACAGGGTATTTGGATTAGATTTTTGTAACTTAATTACTCGCAAATTGGTAAATTTGACGTTCCTTGGGATATTGATGTAAAGCTCTGATGCCAATTTTTTCAAATCAATTATGTCTTTGAAACATAATTCATTAAGCTCATAGCTTTTTCCATTTTTTTTAGCTTGTCTAATTATAACAGCGTATTGATCTGGAACAAAAATTGAATTCGCTTTTTTATATTTTGTGACTTCGGTCTCGATTCTTGCATGTACACTGTCTCCTTCATTTTGACTATGTCCTTTTATGAAAAATTTGTGAGTAATAGACTTGATTTTCAATTTATTTATCATGTAAACATAAAGAGCCAGTATAAATTTGTTTTTGTTTTGCCCGCAACAATTATCAGAATAGAAAATTATTTCTAAGTCTTCTTCACTTTTATTCGAAATAGCTTCAATGTATTTGAATACACAAGTCCCTATTTCATTTGCACCTCGCAAACCTTCTCCTTCATGCCACAAATAGCACACGCCTTCTGTGGCTTTGATGTCAAACAGGGTTAAATTGAAAACGTTCAACTTCGAGACATAATAAAAGGAATTTGCATGACCAGTTGGACAGGGCAAAACTTTTTGAAGGTCATAAACGATAACTTTAACATCATGAGCACTATTCTGTTTGTCGTTCTCCTTTTCTTTTCGACTGAGTAATTTTTCTCGTAAATGTTCCTGATGTTTCTCTTCGAGTTTAGCTTTCTCCTCTTCTGAACCTTTTTCATACTCCAAACACATCTCGCATTGATCTTTCTTTGGTACGTGAAAGGAGAGATTGAACTCTTCGTTGAAAATTTTGCTGTATAGTTGGTAATTTCCGTATTCCACTTTCTCTTCTTCACACAATTTTACATAGTCTCTATGTAAATCTGCTAGTGTTTTACCGCCTTCTATAAATTCCCGTGTTGTATTTGACCTACAATAATGAGCTTCGACTCTCGGAATTGAATTAATGTGTAACCTTATTCTATTTTTGATTTCTTCATTTATTTTTTTGTGATTTCCATGTTTCCCTCTTTTATCGATATCAATTACCTTTCCTGTTTCACAAACATTTTGTTTTTTAAGCACAGTCTGAATGGTTCTATTGTTAATTGACAAAGTGGCCATAAAAAACTGTTTGCATACTCTGATATTTTTTCCTGAGATTATAAAGTAGAATGCATTATTTGGGTTTCTTGGGTTGGCAACATTACTATATTTATATTTGGGAATAATTTGTGTCATATTTGATGCTATGTATTCTCTTTGTTTTCCGATGTCACCAAGCTTATAAAATTCGGAAAAAATTTGTTCACGTTGTTCTTGAGAAATTTTATCCGAACATTTAATTCTACATCTTTCACCACACGGAGGTAGAATTGTTTTCTTTGGTCGTTCTTTCCTAATTCTCACCGTACGATTTTCGATTTTTCGTACTTGAGTATAAACGTAAGATTCCCCTCTATTTCTTAACATTTTTGCACGATTTTTTTGCCACATATCTGGATTCTTCTTTCTTTTTCTAGTAATGTTGTCATTTTGAGTTTGATTCAAAACTTTTCTTTTTTTCTTTGGTTGGATTTCATCCTCTTCTGGTTCTTCTGAAGAATTTGATTCAGATGATGATCCGTGGAAAGGAGGATCTTTCACACTATCATCGGTATCGTATGGGTCATTTTCTAGGTCGTTGTCGGAGGCATCTTAGAAATAAAAATATAAACGAAAATAAATCTCAATTATATCGAAAGATACTAGTAATACCTTCATTTATATTAGAAACCTGCGGGTCATTTTCTAAAGGTTCGTTTAATACCTCAGACGAGGAAGATGAGGACGATGATGAAGATGAGCTAGAAGATGATGAAGATGAGCTAGAAGATGAAGTATTCGTGGACGGCAGTGGAAGTTGCTTTTCTATAATATTAGAGCACACACATTTATGTAAAAATAAATAGTATCTAAAATTATTTGTCAGATATTATTACCTAGACTTCTTTTCTCTCATCTGTCTCAGTTAACATTGTGTCGATATTATCTTTTGGTGGTGACTTCATATTGCCTAAAAATAAGTTACATTTAAGGCAGTATTTCTTACAAAATTCTAACGCATACTCTTACCTTTGGTAGGAATAGTATTCTCACAATGAAGATTAGGTACATTAGGGCCATCACTTTTAACAAAATAGGATTCATTTCCAACTATCTCGCCGCTAAAACTTTCTTCATTGATTGGAGTTTCAGAACTTAAGGTGAGAGAATTATTTTTCACTTCAGGGAGTTGGTTACCAAGTAGATTCAGAGCTTCACCAATTTTTGTGCGAGAGGTAGCGGGTGCATCATAGGGAGGGTTCAAAATTTCAAGGGCTTTCTTATCTCTCAGGACATCAACATCAGCATTTTCATCCTCAGTTTGGATATTCGGTTGAGATGTATCAGATGATTTAGAAATGTTACTTGTAGAAGTGTGGCTTTCCCTGAGCCCAACATCAATATCCAACATGCGCAAAATGCGTGCACTTCGACCTGATTTCCAGTTTGACATCGTACCTTTTCAAAAACGATAAAAATAATGTTTTTGCACTCTAACTTCACTTTGAAAGATTATTCAAGTATGGGATTTGATAAATCTAATAAGCGTTTTTTTAAATAAAAAGTGTAACATCTTCAAATTGAAATGTAATTCCAAAATCTAGAATACGGAAAAGCGATACATTTTTACTTGAAACAAAACTTATTGTGTATTTCTAATGAACATCGTTGCTATTAAAAATGTTTCTTTTTTGTCCAAAATTTTACTATCACTATACCAACAAAACCTCGTCAATATAGATACATTTTGAGATAAAACAAAAGTTGATCTACATTTTTTCCGAAAGACTGTTATAAGTCGAAATAATACTTTAATCTACATGAAATAACTGATAGTTATCATCTTTATTCTAAGCAAAAAAGTAACATTCATAAATAAAACGTTATTTACTATAAAATCAACCAAATATCCAACTTACCTTAATGTAAAAGAGTTTTATATCAAAATATAACACTTTTTCATGAATAAACACTATGCGCAAAATGTTTCAAATTAAAATATAACGGTTTTGTCTAGACGTGACAATATTTCCACATAAACAGTTGGCGACAAACTAAATTATAACCTTGTTGCCCGCAGATTCTATGAATTTCACCGAAATTGCCATGTTACATGTCGCCATCTTTCGGGCAAAATTTGGACTAGAAATATATCCTTTTTCCACATAAAATTAGGCCATTTTTAAAGCCGATTTATATAATAATACCAAAAACTGATAATTTTGAGTTGTAACACTCTTCTTCCGTATAGTCGATATTACCAAAGCCGAAGAATCAGAGTTTCAGAAAGCTACACATTGTTACATTTGCGAGCACCCGTTCAATTCGCCAAGTGATAAAGTTCGAGATCACAACCACTTGATTCCTAACAACAACTACCGAGGTGCTGCCCATTCGTCGCCATGTAATATTAATCAACAAGATTCACACGTGATATCTGTGGTGTTTCATAACTTGAGCGGCTACGATGCCCATTTCATCATTGTAGACATAGCTAACAAAATGAAAGGATCTATTGATTTGTTGCCAATAACAAAGGAAAAATACATCTCATTCACCAAGCACATTGATGATTACCCAATCCAGTTTCGCTTTATAGATAGTTTCCGATTTATGAATTCTTCGTTGGATAAACTGGCATCAGATTTACCTGAACATCCCAATCTAAAGTCACAGTTCACCGGGCTAGACGTAGATAAGTTTAAACTTCTTACAAAAAAGGGGGTGATGCCCTATGATTACATTGACTCGTTTGATCGTTTTAATGAAGCCTGTTTGCCGCCAATAGAAGCATTCTACAACACACTGAATGATGCACCATGTCCTCAAAGATTATATCTCAGAGCTAAACAGGTGTGGAACAACTTCGATTGCCAAGATTTAGGTGATTATATCGATCTATATATGAAGACTGATATTTTATTGCTCGCCGATGTATTTGAACAATTTCGCTCGAGCTGTCTCAAAACATATGATTTAGACCCTGCTCACTATTTCACGCTACCAGGTTTTACTTGGGACGCAATGATGAAATATACCAGGCAGGAAATTGAGCTTCTTACCGATCAAGACATGTTTCTCTTTGTGGAACGAGGTATTCGAGGCGGATTGAGCCAAGTTTGCACAAACCGATATTCCGAGGCTAATAATAAATACATACCAACCTATAATCCCATGGAACCATCAAAATATTTAATGTACTTCGATATCAACAATCAGTATGGCTGGGCAATGTCACAGTATCTTCCCTATGGAGGATTCGAATGGGCTGATGCCAACATTGATGTAACCCAAGTGTCAGATGATGCCGATACTGGCTATATGCTAGAAGTCGACTTAGAATATCCTAGGAAACTACACGATGCCCATAAAGATATTCCCTTCTGTCCAGAGCATATTAATCCGAAAACTGGAAAACTTCCAAAATCAGCAAGAGAGCTAACAAAGCTAATGGCAACACTGCACAGGAAAGAGAAATATGTAATTCATTATCGAGCCTTGAAGCAAGCCTTAGAGCATGGCTTAAAAATTAAAAAAATACACAGAGTTTTAAAATTCAAACAATCACCTTGGCTCAAATCATACATTGATCTGAATACTACATTGAGAAAAGAAGCTAAAAATGAGTTTGAAAAGAATCTCTTCAAGCTAATGAATAATGCAGTATTTGGGAAGACAATGGAGAATATTCGGAAAAGAGTAAATGTCAGGCTTCTGACAAAATGGTCGGGAAGATATGGAGCTGAGGCTTATATATCGAAGCCAGAATTCAAGACCAGCACCATATTCAATGAAAATCTAGTGGCAGTAGAGTTAAGAAAGCTCGAGATATACTTAAACAAGCCAATATACGTCGGACAAGCAATTCTAGATCTCGCAAAAACCACCATCTACGATTTTCATTACGGCTACATGAAAAAAGAATTCGAAGACAATTGTTCAGTTCTATACACCGACACCGATAGTCTCATTTATGAGATAACTGAAAAAGATCCATATGAAATTACCCGGCGGGACTGCTTCAAATGTTTTGATACATCGGACTATCCAAAAAATAATCAATACAGTATACCTTTGGTCAACAAAAAAGTTCTTGGTCTTATGAAAGACGAAAACAATGGCATTCCAATGACAAATTATGTCGGCCTCCGATCAAAATTGTATGCAACTAAAGTTATGGTAACAGAAGGAGATATAGAGAAGAGGAAAAAAGAATTACATGATGAAGAATTCGATGAAGATGAAATTGAACTTATTTTATCGAATTATGGGGTTTCAAAAAAAGCAAAGGGAGTTAAGTCACAAGTTGTTCAAACTAAAATAACCTTTGATGACTACATAGAATGCTTAGAAACCTATAGCGAAAAACATATTACGCAAAATTTGATACAAGCAGAGAAGCATGTAGTATATTCAATAACCCAAGAAAAAATTGCCTTAAGCCCATTTGATGATAAACGTTTCATTTTATCCAATAGTTACAACACTCTTCCTTGGGGACATTACTCAATTAAGAATGAATCCTAGGATTGAATGTCACTAAACATCAATGTGTCTAATAATTTTCACTTGTAATACTTTCCAAGTTTTAGCTTTAAGTTGTTGTTGTTGTAACAATGTAAATATTTTATATACATAGCCATAGATATTAATGTAGTATTATTTTATTTTTACACTTTTCACTTTCAATATTTTTCAAGTTTAAATGGTTTAGTCATTGTAAATATTTTCTTTACATAGTCATAGATATTGATGCAGTGTTATGATTTTTAAGTTATTTTTCCTGTACAAAAAATGTAATTTTTTATAATAATTTAGATAAAAAAACACGATATCCATCCTCGGAGGTCACCAATACCCATAGATAGTAATTGTAAAAATTATAGTTTAGCTGTAATTAATATTCCTGCACAAAATGTTATTCTTATAATAATTTAGATAAAAACGCGATAGGTATCCTTCCTTAGGGGACACCATACCTATAGTAATCATAGTAAATAAGTAATTGAGAAAAAAAAAAACAATAGTTTTAGCTGAAGTTATTATTCTTATACAAAATGTGAATTTTATAATGTTTACTTTAGTCACTTTAACGTAATACTTATACCATTGTAATTGTACTACTAATAAAGCTGAAAAAAAAAAAACAAATGTAATTTTGATAATAATTTAAATAAAAAATATTTTCTAAAAACGATGTTTTACTTATTTTTCACAAACACCACCGAATGCGTGTGAAAATTCAGCACACAAGAATTAGCACCAAGCCACTAGAAACAATTAATTTTCCTATTAATCAACGTTCTATCATTTTGATTCACGTTTTTTTTTTTTTTTCTGAAATAAATACTCAAAGTGAAACAAAAGTATTAGTACCTAGGAAAACTTTTTTATTAAATCAATGCAAGATACGTTCATGCAGCCATATTCAGGGTCTTATTAAAAATTAAACTATAAAAAGTTTGAGTTACTTAGTCATCTGAGTCAGTTATCTAAACACGCAATTTCAATAGGGGCATAATGAAAAACAAAACTATAAAAAGGTGAAGTTCTATAATAGTTGCTATAACTAGCTAAGAGCACGTTCAGAGTGGAAGATTTCTGACCTACGCGTTAGGTCCCCCGATCTCCAAACGGATACAGGACTGATTTTAGACTAGTCTGTATACAGCTATACAGGTCTAGAGACAGGTCTGTATACAGCTGCTATACAGGTCTATAGACAGACCTGTCTCGAAAAGCTGTCTCTATAGACAGACCTGTCTCGAAAAGCTGTCTCTATAGACAGAGCTGTCTCGAAAAGCTGTCTCTATAGACAAACCTGTCTCGAAAAGCTGTCTCTATAGACAGAGCTGTCTCGAAAATCTGTCTCTACAGATAGAGCTGTCTCGAAATGCTGTCTCTATAGACAGAGCTAAGGTAATATACATATCGTCGGACAGCTATGATTGACACGGCCTGGTACGCTTAAGTGTACATCAATCATATACAGGGTGACAAAAATAGCTAACAGGTTACCAGGCCGTGTCAATCATAGCTGTCCGACGATATATATATTACCTTAGCTCTGTCTATAGAGACAGCATTTCGAGACAGCTCTATCTGTAGAGACAGATTTTCGAGACAGCTCTGTCTATAGAGACAGCTTTTCGAGACATGTCTGTCTATAGAGACAGCTTTTCGAGACAGGTCTGTCTATAGAGATAGCTTTTCGAGACAGCTCTGTCTATAGAGACAGCTTTTCGAGACAGGTCTGTTTATAGAGACAGCTTTTCAAGACAGCTCTGTCTATAGAGACAGCTTTTCGAGACAGGTCTGTCTATAGAGACAGCTTTTCGAGACAGGTCTGTCTATAGACCTGTATAGCAGCTGTATACAGACCTGTCTCTAGACCTGTATAGCTGTATACAG